TATGTATATTTATATATATACACACACACACATATATCATGAGATCATATTATTAAAGACAAACAAATAAGGAAAAACAAGTTGTCACAAAAAATAGTTATTTCATAAATTTTCATTGTCACCATAAAGATTCCAGCATTCAGCAAGGCAGAAGCCTGGATTGCAGGACAACATCTTGCCCCACTTCTCCATCAGAAGATGCTTTTTGACCGCAGGAACTTTCCCCAGGACATCTGTGCACCTTCACCCAGGGACCGGGGTCCTCTGGGATGAAAGAGCTACCCCTTACATAGCCCCTTCTTAGGGACTAGCACTTTCCAGAGGCCCAGGAACTTTTGGAAGCTGGTCCTGATGTTTTATTTTACATAAAAAATAACAGGTGGTTAATTTACATGTAAAACACTGATAACACAGACGCACACAGAGGAGGGAAGAGAAATTCTGGTTAAATTCCTACATGACCCAATGTTATAGCAACAGTAAAACTATGTACACACATGATTTTTTCTATCCAATTACAGACCTGATATATCATCGGACAGCTTTCACATCTGTGTTGAGTCACTTTCATTATTTACCAAGGACTAAGAAGAGATGGAAACTATAGTCTTTGCCACAGCTGAGGAGAAATGTGCTGGACTCCTTCTAATGGATTGATTGAATATGATCAGGTTTTCCTTAAGGTCACTTTTGCCGGAAAAAAAAAAGACTTACAGAGTTTTAACCAGTTGGAATCAAAGATTTAACACATTTGGGTAGTGTTGAATTTTAATAGCTTGGATTTGTAACTACTTTATTAAATTAAAATCTGAGCTTCTTTATTTTAAACAGTTACTAAGTTGTCAAATGTTATAAAAAATGGTGGGTGCATTAGGCCTTAGCTTCAACTTACACCTTTTATGAATGGTTATCAATTTATATACGATATTTTACCCATTTGAAGGAATACTGATACGGCCTCTCTATGTTTTCAGAGGAGAGGAAATGTTGATGACTGCTGAAAATAACTATATGCTATTAGGCTTTAGCCTTGAGCTACAGACGATAACTAGAGATGCACAATGATGTCTGCATCAATAAATATACAACTGAATGGTTATAATTACAACAAAATACATTTATCATTTCTGTTTAAATGAAATGTCTTGATTTATGTCAGTTATTAAAAAAGACTTTCACAATAAGAGTAACAGATAGATTCTATTACAGGAGAAACATTGGGGTCTTATATCAGTATTGATATCTTTATCAGCCAACATATATATATATAACATTTTCCATACCTTGTCCTAGATAGAAACGGTCATTATGTTGGCTACTGTTCATATGTGAATGTGCACACACTTCATGCCAACCCAGCAAAACTTGCCCCCATTTTGTCAATACAGGACTCATAACAGAGGTGGGATATGGCCTGAAAATATTCTCTGTGTTGTCAAAACACCGATCCGCAAACTGTAGTTGGAGAAAATTACAAACAATCCGACCGAAATGGCAAAAGAAAAGCATTTTGACAAATATGTTGGTAATCCTCAAATCGTAGAAAACAGATTTGAAGTCTTTGGACATTGAACTCGAGGAGCTCAGAAACATCTGGAAGTCAACAGTCTGAGCAGGTTTTGAACAAAAATGATGATCTAAATGGTGAATTCAATAGAACGTTATTGAGGGAGGGAAATAGTGATTCATGAAATGACTTGGGCTCGTTTAATCAAAAATGACTCAACTATACACATAAGATGTTTTTTTTTTCTTGTCGTTTATTGTGTTTTATAAACTTCGGATGGTGGATTCAGTCTGAACACGCTGACCGTGGACGTCCAGAGTCTGAATCCACAGACTCGTGCCATCTGTCGCCGGGTGCGGTGGCGCGCGCCTGTAATCCAAGTCCCCGGGAGGCAGAGTCTGGAGGATCGTTTGAGTTCAGGAGCTCTGAGCTGCAGTGGACTGTGTTGATCGGGTGTCCGCACTAAGTTCGGTATCGATATGCTGATCCTGGGGGAGCCCGGGACCAGCAGGTCGTCTAAGGAAGGGTGAACCGGCCCAGGTCGGAAACGGAGCAGGTCAAAGCCCTCGTGCCGCTTAGTAGTGGGTTCGCGCCCGTGAACAGACGCTGTAGTTCAGCCTGAGTGACACAGCGAGACTCAGACTTTTTACACTCTGAACACGGACTAACAAACATTTTATACAGTAAACGGTAGCGTTTGTACCGGTTGCAACAGCAGGGCTTTCAAATCTCGCGCATTCAGCGTGTGACACACGCATTCCCACCCGTGCACACGCTCACATGCCACACGTTGTATTTCTCACGCATTTAAATGAACATAGTGATGTCCACCAAGTTGCACCTCTTTAACTATGGAACAGGTAGGAGTCAACTGAGTTCCTCCGAGAGTTCAGAAGCTGCGTGCCACGCGCAAGCCAATCAAATAAAGTATATCTACTGAACAGCCAATAAAAAAGCAGCATTGCTGTATCCGGGTAGATTTTGATATCTTACGGTTTGACTACAGAAGAAGACAGACACTCGCCGTAATAGAGCAGGTTTTTATAAGGACGAGATAGACCCGATGATTACAGTAAGTCAGTAACCTACACATGCAGAGACCTCAACACCTCATGGCATATAAACTCATATGATAAACTAAAGCCCTATGCTATTGCTATTAACAGCTGTATTGACGGATTTAGCCTCTGTACAGCCATTTCCAACCATTTTCCCCTCCACAAAAGCAGCATTTCTCATATATCTCAAATATAAGTTCTGATACTCATGACAGTGTAATGCTCCATGTTTGTGAAACCTATACTAAAGTACAATTCATCTAAATGCTCCACAGTGCTGATTTTAACAACTCTCCTTCACAACAGGTAACTTTAAATAAACAGTTGGATCACAAAACTGGAATTTGCATGGACATTTCTGAGTAGCATGAAATCAAAAGAAAAAAAATGGCATAACTAAAATGAGTAATTTTAACACATTTTAAATTAAGTTGGTCAAATTTCAATTTGTAGAGTACAAGGCAAAACATGTTGCTTGTACTAAAGTAATTGATTTGGCCTAACTAGAGAAGTTTTGTGCTATTTACTTAAATAAAAATCTAAAAAGTAAAAATAAACTGTATTTTAGACTGTTTTTAAATGTTTTTAAAGTTTTTATAGAGTTTTTAAATGTTTTAAAAAAATATATATTTTTTTTAACTTTTTTTTCCAAAAAATGAACTATTAACAAATAAAATTGTGTGCCCGTGACAACGTTTCGACCCTGGTGGGTCTTCTTCAGGTCAGGCACACGGTAAGAACCCAAAAAAAACGCTGGCTGGAAAACAAAAAGCTGCTGTGAATATTATTATGATGTTCTCCCTCCAAGCGTTTAAACAGAAATGAATATACCCTGCCCACTTTTCCCTTTTTATAGCCTCTGGTGAAAAATACTAATGAATTTCTTATTTTTCTATTTTTATTTTGTACTGTTTTTGGATTTTAAATTTTATCCCCTGAACTGCCATTTATACTTTTAACCCTTTACTATATAATGATAAACAATACAACATATATTTTTTGATAAATGTATTTATTTATTTAAAAATTAATATATTTAATTTTAAATTTGTCTTAGGGTAAGGGCTAGGGTTAGGGTTAAGGGTTAGAGGTTATGGTTAGGTGAGGGAACTGTCTCCCGTCTCCCATAGGGAGCGGGGTAGGCACTGGCCTTCCCCCAACCGGACACGTTCCTCCGGTCCCAAGAGGGCTGGCGGAAGCGCTGGCCCCTTCTGCCATAGCGGACTTCCGTCCAGCCATCCTGGTAGCCACTCATATTGGAGTGGCTATGGTAAAGTAAGTATGAATTTGTTTATATAAAATAAAGTAAAATACTGATTTTTTTAAGAAAGGAAACTTATCTTTGAAATAAAAGGAAACTTAACTGTAATCTTAACTTTCTTAAAAGAAAAACTTGATTGTTTTTTCAGAACGATGAAAAAAGGAAAATAAAAGGTGAGTAAACTGTGCTTTTAACTGTTTCTATATAGTTTTTAAATGTTTTTACATTTTTTTGTTCTTTTTAACTTTTTTTTCAAAAATAAATGAACTATTTACAAAAATATATGTGTGCCCAAGACTTTTTTTTTTTTTAAGTTAATGAACAATATTTATTTTCTAGCCATAAAACGTATGCAACTTTACAAACACAAGCTCAACACAACGTTTTGTTGCTTTTATAAACATTTCGACCTCTTGTAGGTCTTCCTCAGGTCCGGCACACGGTAATAAAACAAAAAGAAAATGCTGGTTAGATAATGAAAAAATAAACTGCTGTCTGAATATTATGTGGCCTTCTCTCCTCAAGCATCTAAATGAAAACGAATAAGCCCTACCCACTTCTCCCCTTTTATAGTCTCCGGCGAATAATTATAATGAATTTCTTAGTTTTTTAATATTATCATGTGCATTTTTTAGATTTTTAAATTTTAACCCCTTAACTGCTATTTATGCTTTTAACCCTTTACTATAAAATTTACGAACTATACAACATATATTTATTAACAAATGTATTTATTTATTTATTTATATTAATTTTTTTTTCCATGCATTCCTATGGGAAAAAATCAACTTTTTTTAGGAACGTCCTAGAGACTCGGGACAGTCAAAACAAAAAAATTCTCCCACAAGGTGTCTGCCTTGTCATGGCATGGGGGCTTACGTGGCTTCAGTGACTACACAGGAACACTGGGCCACAACTAGAGACACCAAAGACTCCACTACTTAGGGTTTTTTTAAAACAGTTTTTTTATGTGTGTATTAAAAACAGCATCTCTGTACAAACATAATCATAATCTCATTTAAGAAACAGTCAAAAACCACAAGAAAATCACAATTTTAAAAGAAACCACCGACATCTGTGCGGGTCACATTTGAACCGCGTACGCTGACTTGAGTACCTCATCTCCCAAAGCTCCACAGAGGTGTACACAAACCCTGACAGACTGTTTCCAAGGATGGATTTGGATTCTTTCCTTTTACTGGCTCTTCTGAGCATCGGGACGCTGCTCCAAGTGGACGCCTCAGAAAGTTTCACAGCCAAGTATGGAGAGACTATGGTGATACCATGCAACAGTGGCGCTCCAGCACCTGAAGATCACTTCAAATTCTAAGAGCACGGAAATGGCAGTTCAGGGGTTAAAATTTAAAATCTAAAAAGAGTTCAAAAGGAGGAGGTGCGTCACAAAAAGACAACCAGAAAACGAAAGAGGGACCGAGACCATGACGGCGGCCCGTCCACACCCATCTCCAGCAGCGGCCAAGGGTAGCAAAGAAGCGTGGCCGCCCGCCTGCTGAGAAGCTCTCACCAAACCCTCTATCCCTCACCAAAAAGATGAAGAAGATCGTTGATGCGGTTATCAAATACAAAGACAGTAATGGCCGACAGCTGAGCGAAGTCTTCATCCAGCTGCCCTCGCGAAAGGAGCTGCCAGAGTACTATGAGCTCATTCGCAAACCTGTGGACTTCAGGAAGATCAAGGCCATAGGTCATTGGCACACAATTTTATTTGTAAATAGTTCATTTTTTTTTTTAAGTTAAAAAAACCCTAACCCAAACCCCTAACCCTAAACCCTTACCCTAACCCTTAACCCTAACCCTAACCCCCTAACCCTAACCCTAGCCCCCTAACCCTAACCCCTAATCCTAAACCCTAACCCTAACCCCTAACCCTAGCCTTAACCCTAACCCTAAAACGAGTTAAATTAAATACATTATTTTTAAATAAATAAATACATTTGTTAATAAATATATGTTGTAAAGTTCATTATTATATAGTAAAGGGTTAAAAGCATAAATAGCATAAATAGCAGTTAAGGGGTTAAATCTTAAAAATATAAAAAATGCACATGACAAGATTAAAAAACTAAGAAATTCATCATAATTATTCGCCGGAGACTATAAAAGGGGAGAAGTGGGTAGGGCTTATTCATTTTCATTTAGACGCTTGAGGAGAGAAGACCGCATAATATTCAGACAGCAGTTTATTTTTTCATTATCTAACCAGCATTTTCTTTTTTTTTTATTACCGTGTGCCGGACCTGAGGAAGACCTACAAGAGGTCGAAATGTTTATAAAAGCAACAAAACGTTATGTTGAGCTTGTGTTTGTAAATTTGCGTACATTTTATGGCTAGAAAATAAATATTGTTCATTAACTTAAAAAAAAAAAAGTCTTGGGCACACATATATTTTTGTAAATAGTTCATTTATTTTTGAAAAAAAAGTTCAAAAGAACAAAAAAATTTAAAAACATTTAAAAATCTTAAAAAAACTTAAAAACATTAAAAAACTACATAGAAACAGTTAAAAGCACAGTTTACTCACCTTTTATTTTCCTTTTTTCATCGTTTTAAGAAAACAATCAAGTTTTTCTTTTAAGAAAGTTAAAATTACAGTTAAGTTTCCCTTTGTTTCAAAGATAGGTTTCCTTTCTTGAAAAAAAATCAGTATTTTACTTTATTTTATATAAACAAATTAATACTTACTTTACCATAGCCACTCCAATATGAGTGGCTACCAGGATGGCTGGACGGAAGTCCGCTATGGCAGAAGGGGCCAGCGCTTCCGCCAGCCCTTTAGGGACCGGAGGAACGTGTCCGGTTGGGGGAAGGCCAGTGCCTACCCCGCTCCCTATGGGAGACGGGACACGGTCCCCTCACCTAACCCTAACCCTAACTCTTTTTTAACCTTCCATTCAAAATTACCAAGGGGGTGGGTCACCTCCAAAATGCGTATACCTAAACCCTAAACCCTTACCCTAACCCTAAACCCTAACCCTAACCCTAAAGCCAAACCCTAACCCTAACCTGTGGCCTGAAACGTGCTCCTAACACAATTCTGGAAGGTGAAAAATTGGGTCGGCATTTAGAAAAATTATCTAATTTTTTTTCCCATGCATTCCTATGGGAAAAAAATAAATTTTTTTTAGGAACGTCCTAGAGACTCGGGAGTTGGTTCATTGTACTCAGAAAAATCCCCCCCCCCCCCCCCCCAGCATGCAAGTTTCAGCGCTCTACGACCTTCCGTTCAAAAATTACCAAGGGGGTGGGTCACCTCCAAACCCCCTAACCCTAACCCTAACCCTAGCCTGGGATTCTAACCCTAACCTTGGGACTGACCCTAACCCTAACCCTAGTGATCACTTTAAGCCTAACCTCAGGTAAAATATAAATATATTATTTAGAATAAAAAACCAAACAGCAATTAAAGGGTTAACATTTTACAAACTAAATAGAGCTGAAAATAAAACAAAATATCCGAGAAATTAAGTTAATTATTGGTCCAAAGGGTCTAAAAGGGAACAGGGATATTTCATTTTATTTTGGCTGCTTGCTGGGTCAACCCCTATGAATTGGGGCCCAGCAGCCTTTTATTTTTTTGTGTGCATAGATCTGATGAAGACCCAAGCTGGGTTGAAACGTCGTCGCGATGCACACAGTATGTACATAGTTCATGGTTGTTCATGTACTGTTTGTTTGTTTGTTTGTTTGTTTGTGTGTTTGTGTATAAAAACAGTTAAAAACCTTAAAAAAATGGATTATTTAACAACAATGAATTACACAACACACTAAAACTAATTTAAAAACATTTATTTAAAAACACAAGTAAGTGTTCTTTTGAGACCGGGGAAGCGTGTCCAATGGGCGAAGGCCCGTGCATTCCCCGCTCCCTGCAGACCCAAGCAGGGTAAATCTAGAGGGAGACGGGATTCATTCCCCCAACCTAACCCCTAACCCTAAACCCTAAACCCTAACCAAATCTCAGGCCGGTTCATCATTGGAAAAGACAATGAACCGGCATGTCAAAAGTGGCACATACCCCTATATCCTAACCCTAACCCCTAACCCTAACCCTAACGTGCTTGTTGTTAAACCGTGCGCACAGGTAAGCTGTACTTCACTCTCGCCGTGTGGATAAGAAGGAAACATGGGGAAACTTCAGGAGTTTGAGATCTCGTTTGATAAAGACAAAGTGGTGTACAGTCCGGGAGAGTCTATATCCGAGACCGTGAAGACTAAACTGGCCCAGGCGCTGCAATGTAAAGCTATCAAAGTGAACTGCAATGGTTTCTGTGGTATTACCAGTAAAGTGAACGACACAGCCTGGACGATGGAGGAGCAGTACTTCAACAGCACAGTCTCTGTTGCAGACAAAGGAACCCTGAAACTAGGAGAACGCCTGCATGTCCAATCCCTGTGCTAATGGTGGGACTTGTCATGAAGTGGACACAGGGTTTGAGTGCCAGTGTCCACCAGGCTGGGAGGGTCGCACCTGAGCTAACAATTTGGACGAGTGTGCCTCCAATCCCTGTACTGAGGGAGGGACCTGTATCGACCTGGAGGACGGCTTTGAGTGCAGGTGCCCTCCACAGTGGGAGGGGAAGACATGTCAGATCGACATAAAAAACAGAGAAAAAAAGAAAAAAAGTGTCCGGTCGGGGGAAGGCCCGTGCATTCCCCGCTCCCTATGGGAGACGGGAGTCATTCCCCTACCCTAACCCTAACCCTAACGCCAACCCTAACCCTAACCCTAGCTCCAACCCTAACCCTAACCCTCACCCTAACCCTAACCCTAAAACTGGTGCAGCGCCACCTCTGGTCCAAAGCGGTATGACACCCTTTTTTGCGAAGTCACCCTCAAACGACAGGAAATGGCCTCAAACGTGCTCACAATCCATTTTGAACATTTCCATACAAAGTCAAACTCTAAGAAACACTGACTTTTGCCATTTTCCGCTCCCATTCATTTTCAATGTGAAATTTTCATTTCGCCATAACTTTTGATAGGAATGTCCGATCGCTGGTTCATTAGTATTTCTAGATTCAGCATACCCGAAAATGGGGGGGGGGGGGGGTAGACCAAATCTCAGGCCGGTTCATCATTGGGAAAGGCAATTAACCTGCATGTCAAAAGTGGCACATACCCCTATATCCCTACTACATGGCGGCTGCTCTATCCCAGGAGAGTGCAAGTGTAGCTATGGCTGGCAGGGCCATTTCTGTGATGAATGCATGCTGTATCCCGGCTGTGTCCATGGGACCTGCAACATGCCATGGCAGTGTAACTGTGAGAGGAACTGGGGAGGTCTACTGTGTGATAAAGATCTAAATTACTGCGGTCAACACCAGCCTTGTGTGAATGGAGGGACCTGCATGAACCCTGAACCGGACGAGTACTTCTGCACCTGTCCACAGGGATACTCTGGAAAGACCTGCCAGATTGCTGAGCACGCCTGCACGTCCATTCCCTGTGCTAACGGTGGGACTTGTCATGAAGTGGACACAGGATTTGAGTGCCAGTGTCCACCAGGCTGGGAGGGTCCCACCTGTGCTAACAATTTGGACGAGTGTGCCTCCAATCCCTGTACTGAGGGAGGGACCTGTATCAACCTGGAGGACGGCTTTGAGTGCAGGTGCCCTCCACAGTGGGAGGGGAAGACATGTCAGATCGACATAAAAAACAGAGAAAAAAAGAAAAAAAGTGTCTGGTCGGGGGAAGGCCCGTGCATTCCCCGCTCCCTATGGGAGACGGGAGTCATTCCCCTACCCTAACCCTAACCCCTAACCCTAAACCTAACCCTAGCTCCAACCCTAACCCTAACTCTAGCTCCAACCCTAACCCTAACCCCTAACCCTAACCCTAACCCTAAAACTGGTGCAGCGCCACCTCTGGTCCAAAGCGGTATGACACCCTTTTTTGCGAAGTCACCCTCAAACGACAGGAAATGGCCTCAAACGTGCTCACAATCCATTTTGAACATTTCAATACAAGGTCAAACACTTAGAAACACTGACTTTTGCCATTTTCCGCTCCCATTCATTTTCAATGGGAAATTTTCATTTCGCCATAACTTTTGATAGGAATGTCCGATCGCTGGTTCATTAGTATTTCTAGATTCAGCATACCCAAAAATGGGGGGGTAGACCAAATCTCAGGCCGGTTCATCATTGGGAAAGGCAATGAACCGGAATGTCAAAAGTGGCACATACCCCTATACCCTAACCCCTAACCCTAACCCTAATCCAAACCCCCTATACCTAACCCTAACCCTAACTCCAACCCTAACCCTAACCCCTAGCCCTAACACTCACCCAAACCTTAAACTGGTGCAGCGCCACCTCTGGTCCAAAGCGGTATGACACCCTTTTTTGCAAAGTCGCCCTCAAACCACAGGAAATGGCCTCTAACGTGCTCACAATCCATTTTGAACATTTCCATACAAAGTCAAACACTTTGGCATTTTCAATTTTTTTTCCCCATGCATTCCTATGGGAAAAAAATCAACTTTTTTTAGGAACGTCCTAGAGACTCGGGAGTTGGTTCGTTGGACTCAGAAAAATTCTCCACCCCCCCAAAGTGCAAGTTTCAGCGCTCTACAACCTTCCGTTCAAAAGTTACCAAGGGGGTGGGTCACCTCCAAACCCCCTATACCCTAACCCTAACCCTGACTTTCTGAGGAAAGTGATTTCTCAGCACCTTTCCTTGTCACTTGTAAGGAAACAAGGGTGCAGTTTCTTGCAAAGGCTGTAATTACACACACTCATCTCTGGATGTGTTTGTGTGTGTGGACCCAAAGCCTGGAGGACCCAGAGGGTGTCCCTCACCTCACCGACAGACCACAGTTTGTGAGGCTTAAGAACTGTGTGTCTGACATGGTGGTCTGCAGCATTGGGGCTCCACAGGAGACAAAGCTCTCCCCCTTCCTCTTCACCCTGTACAGCCCCCGTGCTTCAGAACTGTGTGTCGGTCATGGTGTTCTGCAGCACAGGGGCTCCACAGGGAACAGTGCTCTCCCCCTTCCTCTTCACCCTGTACACCTTGGACTTAAACTACAACTCTGGGAGCTGTCACCTCCAGAATTTCTCTGATGACACAGCCATCATCGGACTCTGCTCAGGACTTTCTATGACTCTGTGGTAGCATCTGCACTTTTCTATGCAGTGGTCTGCTGGGTGGCAGGGAACACCGAGAGGGACAAGAAGAGACTGAACAGACTGGTCAGGAGGGCCGATTCTGCCCTGGACTGCTCTTTGGACTCCCTGGAGGAGGTGGGTGAGAGGAGGATGTTAGCAAAGCTTGTATCCATCATGGACAATCCCTCTCACCCACTGCACCAGACTGTGGGGGCTTTAAGCAGCTCCTTCAGCAGCAGACTGAGACTCCCACCTGAGACTCCCACCCTGTAAACTGGACTCACGCCCTAATCTATTTAATCCTTGGCTTTTAATACATTGTAGTGATATTTTGTTTGTTGTCATCTCAGCACTTGCCATGAGTCTGCTTATTTATATATTTATTTATTTTTTGCATTAATGTATTTTTGCTCGCTTTATCTTGTTCTTTGTTTTATTTGTTTTTATGTCTCAATGTACAGCACTTTGGCTACCCCCATAGAAATAAAGTTGATTGATTGGTTGATTGATATTTAACATTTATGTACAGTTATTTAACCATGACCATCCTGATACCTCATCATCTGTTGTTCATCTCCTTATTTATTCATTCATCTAGTGTTTTTTTTTTTTTTTTTCCGGTACTTAAATTGTGTATATTGTATATAGTTTTATTTATTTCTCCCTTTTTCCTTTTCTAAATTTTTTCTTCATTGTAACATTTGAGTTCTTAGTATTTCGATCATTATTCTTATAACTGCATTTTTGCACTTTCTTTGTCTGTGTTGCTGCTGCGGCAAAAAAATTTCCCCCAGGGGGGATCAATAAAGGAATATTCTATTCTATTCTATTCTATTCTATTCTATTCTAAATAAAGTGGATTGGATTGGTTTGACGCATCCTGTCTATCTAAAGTTTAAACATCATAGTGACCTTTGCTCTCGCCAATTGATCCTGCTTGGTTGGTAACAAAGACACAATTGCCATGAGCCTGGCTGTGTTAAAGGTCGAACTAGTTTTAACAGGGGGTACTTTGGTGGACATTGAGCTCTGAAAATACTGAACTGAGTTGAGTTGAGTTTGAACAGAACGTAGGTGCAGCCAATCCAAAAAACAAACAAACAAAACAAAACAAAAAAAAAAAGCTTCAGTTGATCCAGCCCCTAAAACAGGCAGCTTTGGAAATATTTATTAACTTCAAGCACTTTTTGTAAGATTCTGGAAAGGGTGTTAATCTGTTAAAGTGGGATGGGGGGTTAAGAAAACAATCTAATTTTTATTTATGAAAGTTAGAAACTTACTGTTAAGTTTCCTTTTTGTTTACAGTTAAGTTTCCTTTTATTAGTATTTTATTTCTTTTTTTTTTTTGAAAAAACAAATAAATATCTAAAAAACTATAATTCATTGAAGCCACTCAAACACGAGTGGCTACCTGGATGGCTGGACAGAAGTACGGCAGTGCTTCCGCCAGCCCTTTTGGCACCAGAGGAGCATGTCTGGTTTGGGGAAGGCCCTACCCTGCTCCCTATGGGAGATGGGAGACATCCCCCTCACCTAACCTGGAGCGACTTCCCAATGAGGACAAACCTAGCCTTTGTAGGAAATACTATTAAGGAGGTTTTGCATTTCAACTATTTTTCTGGCTTGTCAACGTTGTGTGGTTTTTCTGTGAAGCCTTTGTGAAGCCAGCATACAGTGAACAGCTCCAGATAAGACATATGTCAAGCGGTCGGCCTTTGGGTTACTGCTTTTCTTCTTTCTTACTTCAGTTCTTACCACCTGGATCAGAATATTTCAGCATTTCAAAGCTGAGTGGGGAGAGGTGGGAGACTACCTGTCCTGGACCACAGAATGTTCTTTTGTAATTTAATTGTAAGCTTTGGTGATAAAGTGTGGTCTCTCAAACTGAATTTGTTGTTTCGATCCAGTTGACAGAGTAATCACAGTTAACCTCTTCAAGAGCTCAGTGCTTTTACTGAGAATTCATCTGTTCAGTTTAGAAGATCCCATGGTTTTAGTGATCTTGTAAAGGAGACAATATTATCTACCAAAACACAATTTAAACAGTAATTTCTGAAACAATTGTATGCATTAAGATTTGAAATAAATGTCAAGTTTAACAATTTTTATTGTCTTGACTAAAAATTTTTAAGATTTCTGTATTGTTGTGCACAGACATCTGTTTTACTCATGAATGATTAATAAAAAAAAAAAACAGTCAATGGTAAAAGAAAAAACAAAACAAAAAAAACTACAGTGGCACCAATCCACAAAACCAGACGGGGTCGAGGGGGAGAGGGGACTTCAGGGGATGGACCGTGCACCTCCAGTCCCCTATTTTAAGGGTGCACAGTCCCCTATCCCCAAAATCCTAACCCTAACACTTGGGAAAAATCTTTCAAGGTCCCATTCACTTGTGAGGGGGAATTGAAATCACCATATCTCGGGAACGGAGCGTCGCAGTGACAAGCTGTTGGCATGGCTGTGTTCAGCGGGGTTGACAATGCTGGGATACACTAAGTTTCTTGATCTTGGACAAGTGTCTGAGCTCTGGGACCGATTGCAAAGGTGCACCCAGGGGTGCAAACCCCCATTTATCCCCTAACCCCTAACCCTAACAACCCTAACCCAGGGCTAACCCTAACCCTGACACTATGTTAACCCTAAAACTAACCCTTGGGGGTTAATCTATAAATAAATAAATATAACCCTAACCCTAGGAAGACCCACTAAAATGTGTCGCAGAAGGAAACCAGAAAGCTCTCCTTACCCTAACCCCTAACAATAACCTTTAACCCCAACCCCAACCTCTAACCACATGCGACAGCCAGTGCAAGCCCTTGATTAGCATACCTGAAACCGCCAAGTCAGGTGACGAAAGCAGGGGTTATCACTGTATCTCTGACACAAACCTAACCCCTAACCCCAACCCCTCCAAACCTAACCCTTACCCTAAACATTTTATTTCTCAGCTATACTATTTACATTTGAAAAAGGGCAAAATCAATATTTTATCTAAGAAATTTAAATTACAAAACTCATAAAACACAATGTATGAATAAATAAATACACAAAAACATTATGAGAGGTTTACTTGTTATATTTCTTCGTTTTAATTTTTTTTTCATGCTTTTTTTGTACTAATCTGCATTTTGTTTCTCGGTCTTAACACCAAGATTCAAGATGTTTATTGTCACAAGATTTATGTACAAGTCCATTGCACCGTGAAAAGCTTAGGTTGGGGTGCTCCATAGAATCAAAACAATAAATAAGTAACAGTGCTATACTTTTCTAAAAAAACAAATAAAAGAGCCAGAGACAGTACACAAGGCCATGACACCATAGAAAGTTCATTTCGTAGACTTATTTAAAAGTCTTACAGCCTGGGGAAGGAAACTGTTCTTCAGTCTACTTGTGCTTGCAACGTTCGTTGTACAGATCCTCCAAACTGGGCAGCTGACATCCAGTGATGAGCTCGGCTGTGCGCACCACCCTTCTTAGGGCCTTATGGTCCTTGTCTGTACAGCTCCCGTACCAGCTGGTGAAGCTGCTGGTCAGCAGACTCTCAATTTTCCTTCGATCGAAGGCCTTGATGGTGGTGGTGAGGGCGGCAGTAGCTCAGGAGGTAGAGCGGTCGTCCAATAACTGGAAGGTTGGCGGTCCGATCCCCCCTATTCCAAGTCTGTCCGTTGTGTCCTTGGGCAAGATACTTAACCCACCTTGCTCCCAGTGTGTGTCCTCTACTGGTGTATGATTGTGAGTGTTGTGTGGTGTTGGTCGGAGAGGCTGTAGGCACAAAATGGCAGCCACGTTTCCGTCAGCCTGCCCCAGGGCAGCTGTGACTACTAAGGTAGTTTACCACCACCGAGGTGTGACTGTGTGAGCGAATGAATGATGTATCCAATGTAAAGCGCTTTGAGGGTCTCTGATAAAGCGCTATATGAAATCTGATGCATTATTATTATTATTATTGGACTCAGTCCAAACTTCTTGAGACGCCTGAGTCCATATAGACGCTGCTGGGCCTTGGAGACCACCCCGCATGCATGTTCCTCCATTTCATCTTCTCATCAACCACACCACAATAAATTCTGTAATAAAATGTCCAGAAAGGCAAAAAACAAAAAAAAACAAAAAAAAAAAAACTTTCGAAAAACAGCTTAACCCCTTTGGACCCCACATCCATTGCTATGGACATGACATATTTCTGGCTCTAAACCAATGAAAACTCTGTGAACTAGTGATGTCAGAAGTGCCGGTTCCTGGTTGGATCCTGATTATCCAATTACAATCAAGTCATGACTTTGTGCATGCTCAGAGGGAGTGCCAGACATCGGGCAACACAGGCATGCCTAAGCAACTGGAGAAAGGGAGGAGTAAGTGCTCATTTTCATTAAGAAATAGGAATTTATGTTTAAGCTAGCCAAACAAATTTGCTCTCAGTATAATTTCAAGTGTTGCAAGTGATAGTATTTCAAGTCATCTTGACTATATCTCATATCATTAATTTCTAGGATTTTTTCAAATTATGATGTCCATTGCAATGGACATCAGGAGTTAGGCAAAGTTAGCCAACACTTACTCACTACTAGTGTCAGTATGCAAAGAAACAAAATACCTATAAGCTTTTTAAAGGTAAAGTATGATGTCTCAGTTTATTTGTTGATGTTTATAAATTTTATATGGATATATTTTTTGTACATAATGTTCTTGTGGAGTATAAAGTCGAAGACTCCCTTGAACGTTTGGTAGATGGAGAGTTATCCGAACTTGACTCCTTGATTTAGGAAATGAGGCAGATGAGACTGGGAGTGAGATAGTTGGCAAGCTCAGAATTGTTTTTAATTCATAGTATGAGGTTTTCATAGTTTTTTTTAACTCATATGTAAGATCTAAATTACATGGAGTGCATGAGTTCAACAGTGGTAATACATAAAATGAGTTTAAAATGTGATTGTTTTTTTTATTTAAAAATAATAATTTTATTTTTAACTTGGTTAGAGTTAGGGTTAGGGGGTAAATGGGGCATGACCCCACCTGGTATTGTGGATTAGTGCCACTGTAGTTGGTACAGTACAGTGTTTTTTCGCCTAGCCCGCTCCCTATAGAAGAAGGGAGACATTCCCCTCACCTAACCCTCATCCCTAACCCTAACCCTTCCCCTAACATAAACCCCCTAACCCTAACAACCCTTACCCAGGGCTAACCCTAACCCTTACCCTAGGTGGTTAATAAATAAATATAATTATGATGATCCTGTTGAAAAGTGACACTAGATTTGGTAGATCAGGGGCTGGCTGGTTCACCCTCAAAATCAAACTCTATATTCACATTCGGAAATCACTGCGTGTTATTGGACGAGCACTTCAGTTTGATGTGACCGATCACTGTCCTTTAAACCACTTTTATGTTTTCCCACTGCCAAATGAAAAGTATCTGTAAGTTCATATCTTTATTCTATTCCTGTATCCTGATAGATTATTATGGGAACTTGGTTTTGTATTAGAGGTTTACTTGTTATATTTTTTCGTTGTCATTTTTTCTTTTCATGCGTTTTTTTACTAATCTGCATTTTGTTGCTCAGGCTTAACACCACAATAAATTCTGTAATAAAATGTCCAGAAAGGCCAAAAAAAAAAAAATCAGTTAAACAGTTTAAAACACAGTTAATTTTATTTTTATTTTATTACCTTTTTATGAAGACAATCAGGTTTTTCTTTATGAAAGTTAAAAATGTATGGATAAGTTTCCTTTTATTTTACAGTTAAGTTTCCTTTTATAGGAAAATAATCAGTATTTTATTTTATTTCATTTAAGAAAGAAAAAATATATTACAAAAAAACTATATTTCATCAAAGCCACTCAAATATGAGTGGCTATCAATATGGCTGGACGGAAGTACGCTATGGCCAAAGAGGCCAGCGCTTCCACCAGCTCTTTTAGGACCGTAGGGGTGTCTCCGGCTGGGGAGACCTATGGCAGACGGGAGACATTCCCCTCACCTAACCCTTAACCTCCTCCTTCTGAACCTACACATCTGCTCCTCAAAACAAAAGAAAAAAAAAAAAAAGAAAAAATGAATGGATACTGTATTTGATTTACATAACTTGTCTGCATTACTGATACATGTGTAAACCTCACTATCATTAGGATCCATGTTTGTTAGGACGGAATTTGGGAAACTGAGAAAATGCCCATTTATTTTTTTTGTTTCGTTAGTTAATGTAAGTAAAATAACTTTTAGACCAGTTGCCTTTTAAAAAGAACATCTCACCAGCTGTATCTGACAAGCCCAGACTCACTAATTCACTGTGCCAAAGCCAGAAAAAGACCCAGAGCAGTCGAAGTGTCACGCGTGGGCACATTTCTCATACTTCTTTTCTTTTCTTTTTTCCTTACTTTTATTTAACTTATTTCAGTTTTATTTCAGAAATAACACAAAAAGTCCTAAAAAAAACAATAAAGACAAATTCTTTATTTTGTTATTTTATTTAAAAAGGTTACAAAATCATGAGCTACGCTCAAGAGCAATGGACTGAGGTATGGTACGGGAGGGGGGATGGTCGCCCCCGGTACTGTACCAACTACAGTGGCACTAATCCACAATACCAGGTGGGGTCATGCCCCATTTACCCCCTAACCCTAACTCTAACCAAGTTAAAAATAAAATTATTATTTTTAAATAAAAAAAACAAATTCATTTACAAATAAATAGATTTCATATAGATTATCATTATATACACTTTAGTAAAAGGTATTTCAAGCTAGTTTAACTTACAAATGAAAGTTAAGTCAATGAAAAGACTTGTTTTGTTTCAAGTTAGTTCACGTAGTTGAGTTAACTGCAATATCATAGTTCCCTTAACATTCCAAGCCAAGTTATGACTGATGATCAACTTTTGAAACCTTGTTATATTTCAAGTAAAATCAAAGAACTGTTGTAAATTGTTAGTGAAAGTAAAATCTCGTACAAATTTAAATGATATGTATTTCTTTGTAGTTTTAGCCCTCAATTTGAAGTTGATTTTACGTTCAACTAAAGGAGACACATTTATATTACTTGCTATCACAAGTTTGGATGATTTCAAGTTCTAATTTGTTTAAACTTTGCTGTGCAAGTTATTTATGTGATAATTCTAAAACTCAGAATGAATTCTTACACATCTTCCATTCTAAATATACATTTATTATTGACAATATTCTTGACAATTTTGATATTCTCAGCAGAACAGTAAACATTTTGTGCACTGGAAAAATGCTACAAACATCTACAGAAGTTAACCACACTACAAACGACCGGTGCAATCACAGACTGTGGCTTCGGTAGTGACCAAAGGCAAACATCAGGCAGATCAACCAGAATAAGAGAATACTTCAATAAATGTACATGCCACAAAAACAATAACAGTGTAACTGTCATGACCCGGCTCAAAGGCCATGAAAAAGATTGCGAGGCGTACAGGTTTAAACTTAAAACGAAAGATTTATAAACAACCAAGATTAATTAAATTATTGAATACCCAAGAAAAGAACTAAACTAACAAAGCTTCTAAACTAAAACAGAACATTGTGCCACGAGGATCACTGCCGTGGTGCACAGCAGAGGAGGGAGAAAGACACTGGTACTTAATGAGGGCTTTTAACACCTGGTGGAATGGCCAGATCCACGCCGGTGTGGCTAAGCCCACTCACCAACCTGCCAGGGAGAGAGAAAAGACAAAAGAACAACAGCAAACCCTGGAGGCCGGAGGCCGTCACAGGCAGGAGGCCGTCACAGTAACAATACTGCAATATCTCAGCACTTTTTTAAACTGACAGTCACCAACTTATAAACATCCACACAAGTTAACCACACTACAAACTACCAGTGCAATTGCAGACTGTCGCTTCAGCAGTGACCCAAGGCAAACATCAGGCAGATCAACCAGCATAAGAGAATACTTCAATAAATGTACATATCACAAAAACAATAACAGTGTAACATTACTACAATATCTCAGCACAACTTAAAACTGACAGTCACCAACCTTATTTTGATGAACAAACTTTGCATAAAACACTGTCGGGGTTTCAATTAACACAATCCTCTGAGCCAGTAATTCACAGAATCCCCATATTTATAGCCTTTACCTGAGCAGTTTGTTTCTGAACCCATGGATTCTTGCTTAGCACTGGTCTGGCTGGATTTTCATGATGACCCTCTGCAAAAACTCAAAGAAGTACTTCATCTCATGAGGGTACTCCAGGTTAAGACAGTAGATGGTTGCCATTAATATGGCAAGGACTGTAGGTACATCTTGGAGGTTATGCAGGATGATGGTCTCCTCAACTACCACTGTCACATTGAAGAGTTGACGAGGAAATGCTTCATGCATAACACCTTCATGTCCGATTAAAAGTCCAACCAGCATCCCTTTCATTAGCACGTCCAGGGTTTTCACGTGGACCTGAAAGATTCAACCATATATATATATATATTACTTTTTTAATTTTACAGTTAAACCATGATTGGATTTTGAGTAAATAAATGTACAGATTTCATTTCAAAATTACCAGTGTTTAAATGTTTAAAAAAATACTCATCATACAATAAAATAAGTCTTAGGTTCCCAGAGGAAAAATTTACTGCTCAAAGCTTGCTCTTCTGTAGCTCCGGAGACCAATTTGAGATTCTCATCTCAGCCTAATTTTAGTTTCTATTTTGACTCAAATGTTTCTCACATGTTTCTCCTAAAATTCACTAGGAGCAATAGGTGAGACAGAGTAATTAAAGGGAGTCATACTTGAGACTTAAGGGAGATACCTTGCTAATCTCAATTCAGTGTTTTTAATGGCTCCTTAATTTCTCCTTGGAGAAGAAAGAGCAATACTAGAGCTACTATGGAGAAATATGGCGCACATGCACTCACGCACGCACACACATGCACACATTATATATATTTATATATACACATACATACATACACACACAAACACAAATACACACACCAACGGCTGTCAGGCTTTATAATTCTATAGCAAATGAGCTGACAGACAAATTGATTTCCCTTTTGCAATGAGTAATCTGAATCTTTATTCAAAGTATAGTAGTAAGAGTATTTTCAGTATTTCAAGTAGCTGTAATAACATTAACAATACAGGTTGCATTTGTAAACACAGGCTTTTTTTGAACATGGTCGTTTCAACAAATGTCTATCAGTATGCCACATCCAATACTTTACAGTGTTGTGGCCCTGATGCTGTGTTTCAAGTAGCTGTAATGATAACATAACTTTACAGTGCACATTGCACAATATTTAACAACTCTAAAGGGATAGTTCACCCAAAATTGAAATTGTGCACTGTAAAGTTATGTTATCATTACAGCTACTTGGAAAAAAAACCTTTGCGAAGTTCAGGCTCTTTCGTGATGACCAGTCAATGTTCCTGGCGTTAATAGACACAGCCATTGACTCCATTGAGCTGCCAAATGGGTGGCTGTTCTGAGGACAGTGGGACAGCTTGGTGGGCAGGAGTCAAAGCTCATCAGGCTCCTGGACATCCTCTCCTCCATGGACCACATCAGGTCCTTGTCTGTTCATGCAGCATGTTCCATCTGGCATGTTGACACAGATGTGGACCTGATGTGGTCAAGATGGTGGATTAATAAGATGGCTGGTTCAAGGGGAAACGTCTTCAGCAACCTGTCCATCCACGAGGCGGCTAACTACCAGTCAAATTTGGACGGGAAGCCCATGGATGTGAACCACAACCTGTGGTCTTTGTTTAAAGTTGGAAATGTTAGTCCAAGACTCAACTTCCTCCAACTTTATTGCGACTGCCCACACAAACCACAATTCCCATTTTACAAGGGAGGGGGGGGGGGGGCGTTCATACCCCACTCCCTGTGGGAGATGGGAGACAATCCCCTCACCTAACCCCCTAACCCTAAAATTTAAAAATCTAAAAAATGCACATGATAATATTAAAAAACTAAGAAATTCATTATAATTATTCGCCGGAGACTATAAAAGGGGAGAAGTGGGTAGGGCTTATTCATTTTCATTTAGACGCTTGAGGAGAGAAGACCACATAATATTCAGACAGCAGTTTATTTTTTCATTATCTAACCAGCATTTTCTTTTTGTTTTATTACCGTGTGCCGGACCTGAGGAAGACCTACAAGAGGTCGAAACATTTATAAAAGCAACAAAACATTATGTTGAGCTTGTGTTTGTAAAGTTGCATACGTTTTATGGCTAGAAAATAAATATTGTTCATTAACTTAAAAAAAAAAAAAGTCTTGGGCACACATATATTTTTGTAAATAGTTCATTTATTTTTGAAAAAAAGTTTAATTCATTCATTCATTTATCAATAAGTTTATGTTGTATTTGTTATTATTGCATAGTAAAGGGTAGAGATGCACCGATAAATCGGCCGCCAATTTAAAAAGCCGGTTTTGTATCCAACCGGCCCCAACCGGTGACCGGCCGGTCATAATTTGCCGGTTTTCCCTGAGCAAACTGATCCGCTTGCGCATGCGCGGTGCATATCAGCTCAGCTAAAAGCTAGCAAGACTCGTGAAGAAACATGTCGGTAATATGGACTCATTTCACTGTGTGCCAGAGCGACCCAAAACACGCAGTTTGTAATGCTTGCAAGTCTATAGTCAGCCGTGGAGGATCAACGCGCAAGACATTTGGAACAACAAACTTAATACACTTAGAAAAGAAGCACCCAGGCGTGTTTAGCAAGTATAAGGACGACACTGCCGCTAAGAGGAGGGATGCAGCAGAGTCGCAGCGACCACAACAACCCTCCGCCGTGGCTCCTATATTGGACACCAACACTGAAAAGTCAAAAGCCACAACCAGGAAAATAATGGAGTTCATGGCACTGGACGACCAGCCGTTTAGCGTAGTACAGGATAAAGGCTTCGTAAATCTGAGGCAACACCTAAGTCCACGGTACAAATTACCCAGTCGGCGGTATTTTTCTGACACAGCGCTGCCAGAGTTGTTTGAGAGAGTTTCAAGCCACATACACAAACTGCTGGACGCCACTAAATCCCCGGTCAGTTTCACAACTGACATTTGGACTTCTAACATTAGCTTAATGTCAATGTTGAGCCTGACTGCTCAGTGGCTGGATGAAGAGTTTGAGCTACATCAAGTCCTTCTACACTGTGAAGAATGCCCCCGGTCCCACACCGCCGACAATCTAAGAGCCAAATTTGAAAAAATGTTGGCGCAGTGGAAAATCGACAAGAAGAGGGTTCATGTCGTGTTACGTGACAACGCTCGGAATATGACCAAAGCACTGGATGATGGCAACTTCCCCAGTCTCCCGTGTATGGCACATACACTCCAGTTAGCGGTGAGTGAGGGACTGCAGTCTCAACGCACTATCACTGACGCTGTGGCAACAGGCCGGAGAATAGTCATGCACTTCAAACACTCATCGCTAGTCTATTCAAAACACGCTATCCAGGAGGAGTTGGGTCAACCCACGAAGCGCTTGCAACAAGATGTCCCGACGAGGTGGAACAGCACATTTTATATGTTGCAGTCGCTGTTGGAACAGAAACGTGCCCTGGGCTTATACGCAACAGAACACGAGCTCCCGGCCGTACTCACCACAAATCAGTGGGGTTTAATTAAAAATGTGGTGAGCATCCTTGAACCTTTTGAGGAACTAAGACAATTAGCGCCTCGTCAGCCACCGCCGCAGTTGTCATCCCTGAAATCACTGCACTGAAGCGCCTTTTGGGGAGGGCAGCAGACACAGACCGTGGTGTGGGCACTGCCAAAGCCACGCTGTTGGAAACGGTTCAGAGAAGGTTTGCAGACATCGAGAAGAATCCACTGTACGCTGTGGCCACTACTCTGGATCCCAGGCAAGTTATAACTTACTGCTAATAATGTTTATTAGCCCACTACTATTCTTAAATGAATAAGCATTTGCTACTGAGCTATAGGCTAATGTGTTTGCAAGGGTATATAAAAACATGAAATTAATTAAAACAAAATAATGTATTCTTTGTTGGCCTTTTAGTGCCTGCTTGTGTATGTGCAGTATGCACAACATTTATATATTGCCCAGCTAATGTGGCTATTCTTTTTGTCTGTTGATACAGATACAAAACCTGCTACTTCTCAGCAGAAGTAAAGGATGAAGTGAAAAGGGTGCTTCTGCACATGCTGGACACAGCGGACACCAGTGCCAGCAGACCCACACCTGATCAGCCTTCTGTGAAACTTCTAGCCAAAAGGGCAAGTCTACTGCTTTCGGTGCATGATGAGATACTGAAGGAGGGTGCAAGCAATGAGGAAGAGCAACTGCTGTGCAGCCCTTCATCTGTGCAGTTACATCGTTACCTGTCCGAGTTGCCCATCAAGAGATCTGAAGATGAAACTGTAAATGATGTACTGAGATACTGGCACGATAACAAAACACACTACCCTGCACTTGCCCCACTTGCCCAAGCCTACCTCTCTGCTCCATGTACAAGCATCGGTAGTGAGCGCTTGTTTAGCTTGGCTAGTAATGTCATAGATGAGAAAAGAAACAGGCTTTCTGGTGAGAAGGCAGAGATGCTTCTGTTTGTGAAGAACCTGCCATTGATGGTTAAGTGATTTCATTGGGAGTGGGACGGAGTACTTTGTTCACAACCTAAAGCTACCTGTTTGTATTAATGTCTTTTTTTATCCCATATTATGATGCACTTTTTTATTTAGAGATGTCAAGAGAGGCCAAAGGCCTGAAATGTGGTGCAGTTTACTTTGAGAACCAGTTTTCACTTTCAAGTGCATATAGTGCACTTTATCTTTTGTTTGTATTAGTATTTTAGTTTTATCCTATATTATATGCTGCACTTTTTATTTTGAAATATTAAAAGAGGTGGTGCAATCTACTTTAGCACCAGCTTTAATTTTCGAGTACAACGATTTCATTGCACTTAATTTTTTTTAGATGGAGTTCAAGTTTTAACTTGCAACACAACTTAAGTTGCAGCAACTGCTGCTTGTGTTTAGGTGTTATTGAAAGCCTGCAATATATTGAATGTGATGTGACATTCCAGTGTCAAGTCAACTATTCCAGTGTTTCTCAAATGGAGGTACAAGTACACCTAGGGGTACCCAGAGGTACTGGAGGGGCAGGCAATAAATTACATTGTACCAGGCAAATGCTGGGACGTTTTTGAATTTTGTTTGAATGTAAGTTCTGTAAACTGGACTGAATTTTATGGTCAGTGTTGAAAATAAATCTGCTCAGGAGACACTGTTGAAACTCTCACTCTATTTCTTATTTGTGAGGTTTTATTCTTGAAAAGAGGGGTTATGATCGCATATAGCCTACCATTAGTTGTGGTTTTAATTGCAGTTATATACGCAAAATGTTGTCTGGGAGAGGGGTACTTGTATTAAATTTGAGAAAGGGTACTCAAGCCAAACAAATATAGTGTCTATTATATGATTAGAATTATTTCTTAGATAAAAAATCGGTATCGGAAAAAACGGTTTTGGCAAGTCAGACCTCCTTTTAAACCGGAAATCGGTATCGGCCAAGAATTTTGCAATCGGTGCATCTCTAGTAAAGGGTTAAAAGTATAAATGGCAGTTCAGGGGTTAAAATTTAAAATGTAAAAAGGGTTCAAAATAAAACTAGAAAAATAAATTCATTAGTATTTTTCACCAGACACTATATGAGGGGAAAAGTGGGCAGGGTTAATTCATTTCTATTTTAGCTTGGAGAGAGAACATCACAAATATATTCAGCCAGCAGCTTTTTATTTTCCATTATCCAGCCAGCGTTTTTAGTTTCTGACCGTGTGCCTGACCTGAGGAAAACCCAGCAGGGTCGAAACGTTGTCACGGGCACACAATTTTATTTGTTAATAGTTATTTTTTTGGAAAAAAAGTTAAAAAACAACAAAAAAACTTTAAAAACATTTAAAAACTCTATAAAAACTTTAAAAACATTTAAAAACAGTTTAAAATAGTTTATTTTTTTATTTAAGAAAACAATCAGATTTTTATTTAAGGAAGTTTACAATCAAAGATAAGTTTCCTTTTGTTTTACAATTAGGTTTCCTTTTATTGGAAAAAATCAAGAATTTATTTTATTTTCCAGCAAACAAATTTACATATATATAAAAACAAACATTACAAGTAACATAGCCACGCCAACATGAGTGGCTACCAACATGGCTGGACGAAAGTCCGCTACGGCCGAAAGGGCCAGCACTTCCGCCAGCCCTTTTGGGACCAGAGGGGCGTGTCCGGTTGGGGGAAGGCCAGTGCCTACCCCGCTCCCTATGGGAGACGGGAGACAGTTCCCTCACCTAACCATAACCCCCCTAACCCTTAACCCTAACCCTAGCCCTTACCCTAAGACAAATTTAAAATTAAATTAAATTTTTAATAAATTAATTAATTTATCAATAAATATATGTTGTATTGTTTATCATTACATAGTAAAGGGTTAAAAGTATAAATGGCAGTTCAGGGGATACAATTTAAAATCTAAAAACAGTACAAAATAAAAATAGAAAATTAAGAAATTCATTAGTATTTTTCACCAGAGGCTATAAAAAGGGAAAAGTGGGCAGGGTATATTCATTTCTGTTTAAATGCTTGGAGGGAGAACATCATAATAATATTCACAGCAGCTTTTTGTTTTTCCATTATCCAGCCAGCGTTTTTTTTGGGTTCTTACCATGTGCCTGACCTGAAGAAGACCCACCAGGGTCGAAACGTTGTCACGGGCACACAATTTTATTTGTTAATAGTTCATTTTTTTGAAAAAAAAGTTAAAAAAGAACAAAAAAATTTAAAAACTCTATAAAAACTTTAAAAACATTTAAAAACAGTCTAAAATACAGTTTATTTTTACTTTTTCTAAGAAAACAATCAGAATTTTATTTAAGAAAGTTTAAAATCAAAGATAAGTTTCCTTTTAATTTACAGCTAGGTTTCCTTTCATTGAAAAAAAATCAGCAATTTATTTTATTTTTGAACAAACAAATATTTATTAAATAAAAACAAATACTATAATTAACAAAGCCACTCCAACATGAGTGGCTACCAACATGGCTGGACGGAGGTCCGCTACGGCCGAAGGGGCCAGCGCTTCCGCCAGCCCTTTTGGGACCGGAGGGGCGTGTCCGGTTGGGGGACCTCCCTGGATCACGCTTGGGATATTGATGGGGTAATTGTAGAGGTCACCAGATTCACCGCTTTAAAAGGCACCCATGCCCTACATCTACCTACCTACTTCTCACCACAGCTTTCTGGCTAACGCCTGGTTCACACAGGAAGCGCCGCGCGCGGAACGGAAGTGCCGCGCACAGAGTTTCGGATCGGCGCCCATGTTAACCTATGAGACTGTTCGCGGCGCTTCCGCGCACGGAAAGGCTTGCGCTCTGGAGCGCCAATTGTAAAGCTGGACAGGGCCGATAGGACCAGACAGGAAGTCGGAACAGGACATGCGAGAGAATCCGGTCAATTTTCAAAATAAAATAAATTTCAATAAATTAGAAAATAAGGATTTACGGTGTTGCTTGTCGGTCTATTTTTTACCCATGAACAAACACACACACACACACACACACACACACACACACACACACGGAGGGAGAGCTGCAGAGATTCAGTGATGTTATTGAGACAAAGGAGGGGGACTTTATTACGATACAGTCAATAGCCTTGAGCTAACAAGGCTACACATACAACGGAGTCAACAGACTCCCCAATTTATTGGTTGTTTACCCCTATATAATAATTTAAAACAATACTTGAAGATGCTGCCAATATTTAATTTATGTATGACGAAATAAAAACGTAAATAAATATTGATTTATCCATTTTTAAAGCGCTCGTAAGTGTGGAAAACTGAGGGCAGACGGAAACGGCCGAGCACTGCCGGGCTCAGTCGATGTCTGACCGGCGTGTCAGAGCGCAGCAGAAAACGCTTCATGTGCGGCGCTTCCGTTCCGCACGTGGCGCTTCCTGTGTGAACCAGGCGTAAGGATCATCCATTGTGGGCCTACAAACTGAGGAGAAATGTTGGTTAAAGGCCTGTGCTACTAAAAGGGGATCGTGTAATAGGGTGTTATTAACTTTTGATTGATTGCAGTGAGAGTTTTTATCAGCTGAATTAGTGATTGTTTTTATTTTTTTCCAAAATTTTTAAGGGTTTCTAGTATCATGATTAAGACAGTCTTTGTAATAGTTAGATTTCGCATTCCTAGTCATTACTTTACTTTTGTTTCGTAAAAGTCTACATGTTTCCCAATTTGCTGGATCCATAGTCTTGCGATAGAGGGCCCAGGCCTTGTCCCTTTGTCTGAAAAAATGAATCAATTCAGATGTGACCCAAGGAAGGTGGTTACCCTTGACCCTTATGGTCTTGAACGAAGCATGCTTATTAATAATTTTCATCAATTCAGAGTGAAGGAAATTCCATGCTTCATGATTTGGAATCGGTCCCAATTAACCGAGACCAAATCATTAATAAATTCATCTCCATTAATCTTCTTTTCTTGTCTTATTTGGATAAGTTTCGGGGGCAGTTTGGGCAATTTAATTTTCCAGATACAGAACACCGTACAATGGTCACTAAAACAATCAGAGATTATACCGGATTTAATAAAATGATTTAGATGTGAGACTAAGATCCAGTCTAACAGGGTTTGACAAGTAGGTGTGACCCGAGTGGGTTCACTGATTAGCTGGGTTAGATTAAGGTTCTCAAAAATGTTTTTAACGTTCCTCTAGGCCTTGTCTAACCAATTAAGGTTAAAGTCCCCAAGACAAATAATTCGTTATTATCATTTAGGCGATACAATTGAATGAGTCAGCAGGAGCTGAGGGAGGTCTATAGATATTGGCAATAGTCAAGTACTTATTCTCATGTAAAATAACCTTCACAAAAATTCCCTCAAAATGAACAGGTGAGACAGTAGGCACGATTAATTCAGAGGCAAGATCTGCTGCAACATATGTAATTAAGCCACCACCCCTAGAACCTCTGTCAGCTCTGTATGTCACATAATTGGTAGGCTTAATTTCATTATCAGGTATCATACTATTAAGCCAGGTTTCAGAAAGTGTAATAACACTGGGTTTATGCTGTTCAACCCATGGCCGAATTAAATCAATTTTGTGCTTAAGGCTCCTTATATTCAGGTGTATTATTTTAAGCCCTTTTGAACTATCCAGGTCTTAATGTTTGAAATAACAGCACCAGTAAAACAGAGCAGATCAAAAACAAAGTGTAGAGAGAATGCAAAGAGCACAAATGTACCTCCATGACAGACAAAAGACGAGGACAAGGACAGGACAAGGACATGACAAAGACAGACAAAGTACAACATAAATAAAACAACAACAAAAAAAAAACAGAAACCACCCATCCCATATAACCCTAACCCCAGAGGCTCAAGGATTTGGGTGAGTAGTCTGACATGAACCTTAACTCCCATGCCAACAGATGAGAGAGTAGATGAGAGAGGCGTTTCTGGATATCAACAACATCCAGAAACGCCACTGGCTTCTCTGGGCCCATCTAAGATGGACTGATGCAAAGTGAAAAAGTGTTCTGTGGTCTGACGAGTCCACAATTGTTTTTTGGAAATAGTGGACGCCGTGTCCTCTGGGCTGAAGAGGAAAATAACCATCCGGACTGTTATCGACGCAAAGTTCAAAAGCCAGCATCTGTGATGGTATGGGGGTGCATTAGTGCCCAAGGCATGGGTAACTTTTACATCTGTGAAGGCAACATTAATGCTGAAAGGTACATACAGGTTTTGGAGCAACATATGCTGCCATCCAAGCGACGTCTTTTTCATAGCGCCCCTGCTTATTTCAGCAAGTCAATGCCAAGCCACACTCTGCACGTGTTACAACAGCGTGGCTTCGTAGTAAAAGAGTGCGGACACTCGACTGGTCTGCCTGCAGTCCAGATCTGTCTCCCATTAAAAATGTGTGGCCCATTATGAAGTATAAAATACGACAATGGAGACCCCGGCAATGGCGTGCACGGACATTTTGCGGGGTAGGTGCTCAGTGAAAAATAAGGTCACTTTTTATAGCATGTAGAACTGATGGCTGCCTTATTATAGCAGTGTGACATTTAAAAAATAAACAAACATTACAGGCACATTTTAATTGTAATTGCATATTAATTTATGTGAATATCTTGATAAAATTGATAAAAAGGCTGTACATAAGAAATGTCTTTTAACTTTATTTTGTCTGTTTTTATAACTTTTTAAATAGATTTACATGTAATTCATAGGATTTTTTTGGTAACTTAGTCCTATTAGAGCACTTAAGAAATAGGTCTAACTTTGATATATTTTTAGTTTATTTTGATGAATTTTATGATGACTGACAATTCTTTAAACTTATGAAGGTGTCCCTTATTTTAACACGACATTTGACTGCTTTAATCCACCTCTTTCTCTGTGATTAGAGTGAAAATAGCTTGTGTTTAATGTTAGTTTTCGCCTAATAGCATTGGTTAGTATAAAAGAAACGCAGAGATTTCTCACAATAACAGAAGTTTTTCTGCTCCTAAACATGCAGGACAGGACCACAGTGGTCCATGGTGGGCAGGACTTAGGGGTTCATCAAACAATGTCAATGAATCACTTTTAAGCTAATTATTCCCAGAGTCTCAACGATAACACAAGTTTGTATGCTAATATTGTCATTAAATCTTACGGTCTCCATGTCGTCGATGTTTCCCTCTCTGTTCAAATGTTTTCCCGCTTAATATCAGTCGTCTGTGAAAGTTTTTTTTAGGATGGAGCTGTCAAAGGTGAAAGCCATAGAAGTTTTTCGTGCCAATCTTCAGATTGTATCTTCAGAAATGACCGTTCTCGATCGACTTGTAATGATTTAAAGTTTTTACATCGTCACAGATTACCATGGAGATTTAAAATGCTGTTTACTTTAGAAAAACACTTATATTGGTAGGTTATATCGAAAAGTTTAATATCAACTTTAATTTACTTTAATCTCAAAGGAATACAAATATCTCTTGAAGTAAAGTGGAGCTTATTATTGTCAACTAGTTGAAGAGTTTAAAAAGCATCTTAAATCAAAAACCTTCGTTATGTCTTCACAAAACTATCCCTTTTTGAAAACTATAGCTTAGTATGTCTCATAGGTAATCCAACAAAAACTGGAAACTTTGTGTTTAATTATAATGTCCACTAAATATTTTTTACTTAAATTTTCATACCTTTAAATATGTTTTTCACAACATCTGAGGTCAGCAGATTTTCTTTAAAAATATAGGCTACTAAAAATACCCTATATATTCCTATCATACATATATTTTAAAGCAGTAGCTACATCTGTAAAGCATTTTGTAACCCTGTTTTGAAAAACACTATAAGATGATAATTATTTTACATAGCCTATTATAAAGCACCAAAAAGGCCATAAAGATATCTAATTTTGAAATTTAACAAATAGAAATATCAAATTAGCTGCGAGCTAAAATGTCTTCTCCTCCAAAGTAGAAAGAGGACGATTTTACTGTGATGGTACTTTATACTAATAACAAATAGAGCCTCTGAAAAAGAGATTTAACAGAATATGAAATTAAATAATAAAAGTACTTTAATAGGAACCAGAGGGTGACAAGATACATCCTTGTTTTACACAGTCCATGATTTTGACACACATATATATGTATGTATATATATATGGGTCAATGACGTATAAGGTTTTTCAACATGCCAATTTTAAAATACCAAAAATAAGAATATCTTTTGCAACAGTTCAAACACTAAGGGCTCTATTTTCGTTCGCGCCAGTGAGGCGGCGGAGGGCGGCGAGCCCCGCGCAGTTGTATTTTCGTCTGGCGGAGCCCGGCGTAAGGCGAGTTTGGTATTTTCGTGGACTGAGTCGCACGGAGGCGAGCCGAGATCCGCCAAGCTGGGCGTGGTGGCGTGGCAGGGGAAGGTGTTGACAGAATCAGCTGGCGCAGTGACATTTTCGTGCTCGCCACCGGCGTGTAACGTGCGCTGAAAGCTCGCCGATTCAAACCTGGTCAGCTTTCAGCGCAAGGCGGAACGCAGCTGGTCTAGTAGTATTTTCGTAGACCGGCGGCGTATCGACATACGTCACCGATGCCTCACCGGCAGGTTTCCACAGTGTCAGGCAGATTTCAGTGCAATAAATAATCATCAACAACTATTAATCTGAGTCAGCACATACATTTAGATCTATATCGATATATTCTGATCTATATCTGATCTGATGAGCGCGTTTGGCACGCGTTTGGGCACACAACCTGACCGAATCAATACAGCTGAAACTGCATCAAATTAAATTAAATATCTAGTAAATAAACACACATGATGAAGTTAACAAGATATGTAATGTGTCTCCCTCCTTTTCTTTCTTCCTCTTATTTCTCGCACAG